CGCGATTGTTGAAATCAAGTGTATCGTAAAGTTATATTCGGAAAGAATAAACCAGTTTTATTAAGTAAGGACTTGTGTCGCTAAAGTTTCGTCGGACCGAATTTACGGGAAATCAATTAACAAACGGAGACGTAACAATATATTTATACTATTAAGAAATACAAGTAAAAGCCATTTATTTCGAAAAATAAATTGGCAACAAGAAGAACTTATATATATATATATATTATATTAGATTTTCAAAATCTGACACGAACGTTCAAAATATTGCCATAAACTTCTTTGATATTCTTTGTGGCTACAGAGGCGTTGTTTCCTTTCTCCTATTCAAACAGCATTACATGCCGAATGTGTGTCTCGTCGTGTGCCATCAATATAAAGGATTAGAGGTGGTTCGTTTAACTATTGTACGTGATGTACGTTTTTGGGTGGATGGTTAATGAAAGTGTTAAACGCAACATTATTTTCTTGACGACCTAATACTACAGGTCTTTTTGTTTTGTTTGTTTGTTGTTGTTTTTTACAGTAAGATGTACTCATGGGCCTCCACTTTTTTGCATAGAAATGTAATCCCTATCTCATTTATTATTATATGGGAGAATCAGTTTGGGTCAGTCACACTTATTGTGTTTTTCTGAGATAACTATACGTGGCTTTTAGTGATAGTGTATGTAATCCAAGCCCTATGATGGGAAGACGAATTTGTAGATCCCGCTTTTGTTCGTATGAAAATTTAGCGTATATGTAAATTAATATTGTATATGAGAATTAGCTTGGCTCAAGCACAGGTATATGTTTTTTCTGGGTTAAACATATGTGGTTCAGGCTCATTGTGCTGCTGTACATACTGTAAGCCCTCTTTTGGTGAATCGGATCCATGCACCCCACACTTTTCTTGCTTTAAAATATAGCCGATATGTCATTTATTAATATATGTGAGAATTAGTTTTATGACACATGAATATTTGAGGATAGCTAGGAAAGTGCAAATATTTTTTTCCATAGTAAATTGGAGCTAATATATAGTTTTGACGTTATTTTAAAAATATAGAAAAAATATTTACATACATTTTTAATGTTTACTTATTTCTACATTTTGCGTACCCTATCGGTATAATCTTTAAATAAGTAGTAACTACTTGGTACCTTATGATGACAAAACCTTTTCGAAACGTTGTACATTTGCTGTTATATTAAACTTATATTAAAGTTTTTCTTCATTACTCATTCAAGCCGTCTCCAAATATCAGTAGTAACTATGTTCAGGCGGTTGTTATAACGGGTCTCGACTGTCTAGTCTGTAAATGTAATCAAACTGATTTCGAGAAAAGTTTGGAGAACTGGTAAGGCTTGGTGAAAATCGCACGGTTTTACCATTATTACCTACTGTTATTTTTTAGTGTATATTGTCTTTTCATATTTTGTTGTTTAATGAATCAAAGAAATGTATATAATAATGGTTGGAGACGGCTTGAATGGGTAATGAAGAAAATTTAATATAAGTTTAACATAAAAGCAAATGTACAACGTTTCGACAAAGTTTTGTCATCGAAACGTTGTACATTTGCTGTTATGTT